TAAATAAATTTTACATCATAATTCAACATTGAATTAACATCTTTTGCTATCTAGGGTTGATTCTTCCTAGAATTTTTTTTTAACTTTTTTATAGTGACTCATTTGGTTACATGAATCATTGAAAAAAGAACTATTCTGAATTAAAGGCACTGCATTTTTTGAAGGAATGCATATCGCCCACCACGTTTGATGTCACTTTTAAAAGGGTCAAAGTTACCTTGTAAATAATGTGCACAGTCTCATGCAATAATGCAAAATCTGTTAACACTAGACATCTGCATTAAAGTGCCTGTGACATCAAATTTTAGTAATAGATGCAAAGGCATTTTGGAAAGATAACATTTAGAACATTTTACAAAACAAATTTAAAGCCACTGAGACGAACAGTTGTTGAGATGCATGTGAAGAAACAGGAAGTGATGTCACAGGGGAATGTCTGCATGGAAACAAGAGTGTTACTAAAATAGCTAACAACACAGAGTGTAGAGAAGAATTGGATGTTTCTTTAAATTCTTTTGAGTCACTATCACAGAGACATGTAGAAGAGTCAGAGTTCAAATAATATCATTTTAATAAACAAACACCAGAGTTCCTATTCTTAGAGTTCCCCTTTGATGTCACTTCCTGTTTCACTTTTGCTGAGCCAAAATCAATCGACAACATGACAGTCATGTCATGGGTCAGTGGGTAAAATTGTGTGTATTATGCCAAGTTTCTTAAATATGAAGAGTTTTTCTTTCACTTTTTGCATTTGAAGAATATGCATGTCATATGCACTTTAAAGAGATTAAGTATTTTTTGTGTTTTTCTATTGTTTATTAGCTATTGTGGCTATCCTAAATTAGGGGTTCCAAAAGTTAAGTTGTAGATATGTCCAGATGTTCCTTTCTGAAAGTTGCATTAAAATTTGTCCTATTAGTTTGAGATATTTTGCTAACAGACAATCATGGTGATTCCAACGTGTTAAGCAAAGATGTTATGCAATGTTTGGTACTATGMATATGTATCAGWAGCTACTACACAAATTTTAGYTCARTATCTGTAAAATTGACTGAATTAACACTACAGACAACCAAAATACACAGACATTGAAAATTGACTAAATCTTTGACACCACTCTGTGGTACAAGGAAGAATGACAAAAGTGGAATAATTTTAAAGRTAGTCCCGATTTTGTAATACATTTATTAAGTTAAGTATTCGCCATAAAGGACGTGAGAAAATATATCTTATTTATTCCAAAAGTAATAAGTAAGCATTGCTAGGCGTACAAACAATATTTGAAATTAGGCATTTATAGTATCATAAAACTATTATATTTGTATAACTCTGACCACACATTTTAATATATTTTCTCCATACTAGATGCCGTTAAAYCCAAATGTAGTTTCACTTTCACCRSCGTTCACACGCCTCATCACGACGTCGGTGCCTGCAGTACCTCTACCAGCCGCCGGGTGGTGTAGATTTTCTCGTATGTAAACAGTGACGGCAACGTTTTGCAGTGGTGGACAAGAACGTGTACGTCATTTTTACAATGGCGGAGGCTGGGTGAGGAGTAGTGTGAGTGTGTACAGCGGCGTCGTATTCGGAGCTACATTTCTTTAAGTGCGTGCACGGCGCCCCAAAATGGCCCAGAACCCTAACGCGGTGGGAAAGACGGACTCAGAGTGCAGCGAGACGAGTGGTCCGCAGCCGGAGGGAGGCGAAGCCCACAAGAATTCAGCGGCAACGGCAAACCAAAATGGCGATCAGCCTGGATGTAGAGACGGTGTAATGCCCGAACAAGAAGCGCCTGAACGGCGGAGGAGCGTGCTGGCGGACGGCCGAAGCAGTAGCAGCTCTCTCTCGCCGGCCCAGAGATCGAGCGAAGAGCTGCCACGGAGAAATTTCCAAATCCCGAGGAAGACAAGAGAACGGAAAGGTGGTGCCATATCGCTGCTATTTTGAACACACGGTGCTTTCATAATTCTGCTGCTGCATGCAGCTAGCCCGCTAGCTAGCTGGCTGGTTCGGCAGTATTATCGGCTTTTAAGTAAATCACCGACGGTCCCACGTTCAGATTTAAGTCCAGCCGCACAGTTTAAGCACACAGATGAACCTGACTGGCGTGGTGCTGATTGTAGATTTAAGGCTAGCTCTGGTGCGTAGGCTCAGGTTTCCAAGTTAGCATCATAGCAGCAGCGTCGCTCAAGGCGCCTGAAAGCAGCACTTTTATGGACCGTCCATCTGAAAGCCTGATTTGGTTCTGAAACTTTTCGTAGTCGTCGGCTGATTGAAGGCTGCTGCAAGACCACAGAGCGTTTTGCAGCCACCCCCAGGCAACATGTGGGTGTCTGTTTGACCTCAGTGAAGGGCATGGTTTAATCTACCACAGTTGTCCACCCGAACTGTTTATACAGTCGGGCTGCCCCCCCCCCCCCCCACTTGTCCCAGTTTGAGTGGAATTTCAGAGCATCCCACTTACCGTGCACCTAACCTCAGCATCCCTCTGATGGTTACTCTGCTGCTTCCTACACTGACACTGTGTAAGAAATATGGAAGCCCTTTAGCAAAGTGTCGCATGGGCATCATTTCCATATGCAAAGTTAGAATCATTTGAATTTACTTTATGTGTCGTACAAAGCTGCCACACTTCTAGTGTATTTCCCTCTAAATTTAGCATTATCTGATCAGTTGTGAGGGAGTCAGCTGTGAGTGGCCAAGTTTCATCTTTTAGTCTCAATAACGCAACAATGTGATGCTGATGAGGTTCCTTTATTGTTGCTTGTAGTTTGTAAGGGGTGATTTATTTTTTTTCTGCATATGATTGACAAAATATGTAAATAAAGGCAGGGACAAGATGCCATTTGGGCATCAGGTTGTAGATGCAAATTTTGAGTAACTGTTGCTTATGATGTTTAAATAACATTTTTATCCGTGCATATTTACTTGCATTTTAATTTTACAACTGTAAAATTTGCAGACATACACAAGTTTTTGGAGCTGTTTAAAAAATACACGGAATGATTATGATTCAGTCTGTATTACATTTATACTACTGTTTGTTTTGTTCTGTGATGACATGTGACTTGCATATTCACTTGCATTTCAGAGATGGGAATTGAAAGTCCTGCTCTTTTTTTTTTAACAGTTCAGAAGGGTTTGGGTCTCAGGGTTTATCTACTGCAAATTAGTTCAAGAGTTTCTTTTGCTTGTGTTTTTTGCAATGGCTGTTCTCTCTGCCTACTGCTGATAAAACAAGCTAACTACCTGGATCACGTTTGTGTGTTTGTGTGTGTGCAGGCCTGTACCAGTTTTTGCCCCCTGACAGTCGGGAGTTTGAGGACCTTGTGAAGATTATCTCCTCATTTTACCTAGATCCATTATCACGAGGAAGCTTTTCCTACTGCAAGGCCAGACTAATTCACAACGAGCTGCTTGAGAAGGAGGTTGGTTTAAGTATAAAATACTGGCATTTTAAAAATTTTAGTTAAAATTTTCACCGCTGCAATGTTTAAAGATGACCCGAAAGGGAGTTTTCATTTGTTTTCAGTCAGAGGTCTCTTAAGCTGCACGTTTTGAGGCTCATTTTGTTTCATTTACCATCAATTTGTTCTCTGTGTCAGTTCATCGAGAAGAGGAGAGAAATGAAGCAGGAGGGGCGAACCGAACAAGAACTCGCTGAGACGTACTGCTTCCTTTTTCCAGATAAGTCCAAGGTTAGCCTGCTTTCAAAGACACACACACATAAAAATACTTAAAAAGCAAAGAGAATAAGTTTTCTGTATTTTCTGCCAGCACATTTGAAAATATGTTTATTTTTATGCATCCAGCTTCAGTGGATCTGTGAGAAGGGGCTGTCGGTCGGTCATTGTAGGATTACAACTCTTGGAAATCCATCAGTGGGTAAGAAGCAGATCTTCTGTGTTATTGTTTTGGAGGAAAAAGTATTTATGTTGTTGAATTAGAAGTGTTTTAAAAGCTACTATAAGACCAGTTTTATTCTTTTGTTTATATTGCTGTTTCGTATCTAACCTGTTATGTCTATACCTAAAAAAAACTATAAATAAAACTAATAACTGACTGGTGCAACATATTAATTACTTATGTTTGGCTGTTCTTTATGATTTTTTTCTATAATAGTATTTATTTTTCTGTTGTAGGTGTCTATCTTTCCAAATACTCAGATTTATTACAAATGAATCCCTTTGAGGTGGGCTCGTTTGGAGACATGATCATCTTTAAAGTTATGAGGGTAAGGTTTCTCTTTCTCACATTACATTGTTACTTGGGGTGGTAGCTTGGTGGTCAGTCTGTCTTGTAATCCTGAGGCTGCAGGTTTGAGCCTASGTTGAGTCAGGAATAGCATCTGACATAAAACAATTGTTACATCTTTATTGCRAGTTCACTCGCTGTGGTGACACTGGCAGAAAGGAGCAGCCAACAAAAGCAAAAACACTAGAGGTCAACCGATACAGTTTTTAAGACCGGTGTCAAAAAGTCAGTAAGAACGATTATTTGACATCAGTCTAAGCGATCCCCGATATGTGCTGCTGATTTTCTTGGGCCGATTCTTGAAGCYGATATTGCTTTGTCTTCCTCCATKTAAATGATTAAAATGACACAATGATAACAAATGTTACACAAGTCTCAATTTAAACAAAAAGAAAGATTTATTAACAAAACAAATAAAACACATTAACAACGGATAGCAAACAATGGAAGTTAATATTGTTTTTATTGTATAAGTGAACACATACATGTATCAGCTTATGCCGATACAAGAAAAAAACAAATATTGGCCCAAAATATTGTCCATTGATGCATGAGTCGACCTCTAAACAACACCATCACATTTTTAACTGTTTTCTGATTCTTGTGAAGTAAATCAGTATTTTCTGCTTTTCAGGGGAGAATAAAGCACATCTACGAGAACATGCCCAAGAACACGATTGAACCTTCGCCTAAGTTTGACTGTCACTTGTCTAAAAGTGCCAATCGGGTCACGTCTTTGCTGTCGTACAGAGCTTTTGAGCTCACACAGGTAAATACACTTTTGGGTTGCTTTGTTTGTGTCTTCTGTGTGTACGGTTTACAGAATCAGCTTTTATCTTTTGCAGCAATATTTCTTTGAGTTTGCGTTTGACGAGATCAAGCCACGACCCCGGCATGTGTACCCGTACGCTGTGCTTTCCTTCCAGTACAAAGGCAAAGAGGCCGCGGCAACTCCTATGACTGGTCACAGGTATATTATCCTACATGAAATGACATTTAGTTAACAGTTCTAGGAGATGTAAAAGTCTTCTGTAATTGCTGTGTCTATGTAAACATGAATTTTCTCTTCTGAACAGGTTCAACACTATTTCTGCAGAAGGAAATAGGGGTAAATATTTTTTATATTCTCTTTTGCCTGCTACTGTAATTAAACTAGGCCTGCTGTTACCTAAAACTGCTCCTAACCACTTTTAAAGCTGCACCTTAGGTTTTTCTAAATTAAGGTCAGCAATCTGTTTCTTTTGCTTTGAACGACATTTTAACCCACAGACACAAAGTCATGTTATATTACGAACTCCACTTTCTGTCTATTTTAAATCAGATTGTTTGAGCTGTGCTGTTGATGCTGTTTCAGGGAAAAACTGCTACACTGTGTGGAGCGGTCCACTGCTTAACAAGGGCCAGGAGTTATTCCAGGTCTGTTTACGGTCCTCTTCGCGTCCCTATCTTCCTTTCAAACTGTGAGTAAAACCTTTAATCCCTGTTAATCATTAAAGTCCTTATTGTTCACAAAAGGTTTTTATAGATTGAACTTTACCACCACATACGTCTCATGTAAAATAAAGTTGTAATGAGCTTCTGCTATTTGGGGCCCTGTGGAATTAGTTATAAATTGCTTGAGTAATTTGCTCTGCAGGCCTGAGAAGTTGGAGATGAATCGAGGCATGCAGCTGGATCAGGTGAAGAGGAAGATTCCCCCGTTTCTTTTTTCCTGGGACACTTACAGCATGTCACGAGAAGGTTAGTTTGGTTCACACGTTTGTGTATCTCTTAAAATACGGTTACGAGTGTCTCAAATGATTTTAAATGTACGTGTTATTTATTGTGGAGGATACATAGGACCTCAAAGATGAGTTATAATTACCAACCTGCTTTCATTTGTGTGCAGTGTTGAAATGTGGGATGTCGTGCAGCTTGTTTGAGGTAGTGGAAGGAAAAGGCAAAGCCACCAGAGGCAGCCTGGCAGCGCTGATCCACAAACTGGAGAGGGATCGGATGGTAAGTGTAATTAGTCAGGTTCTCATGTGACAGATCCTTGAAATTTGATCAGCAAAATGAACCAAATAGTGTTTTAGTTTTTCTACAAATTTTTATTTATTTTGATTTATTTTAGATTTGAGAAAGGTGTTTTATTATTATTATTATTATTATTATTATTATTATTATTATTATTATTATTATTATTATTATTATTATTATTGGAGTTGGTGGGGGGGGGGTAAAGGTACAGTGTGCATGGTTTGTATTACAATTATGGTAGATTTTTTTCTGTTAACATTTAAAAACAAATGTGTGGTAAAGGACTTAAACTATCAAGTTATTTTTATATTATCAGCAACTGAGAGCACAATAAACATGAGAATGTAATGAATTTCTGTTCACCAACATATGTGTTGCTAAATAAATACACTAATTTTCTGCTCGTTTTGTTTAGGTGCTGGTCAAGTCTCTGTACGACAAGGGCTTTCTCTTCATGTTGTCCTCAGCTCAGATGGTTGAGTCAAAAGGTGCCAGAAAGTTTTATTCCTTTTCCCTTTTAAAGAAATCTTGTATCCGTTGAACCACCTACTTGTTCCCCTGCTGAGGGTTCAGTTTTGAAAAGTGCTGTTTGTTTTTTAGAGCGGAGGGGGCGTATGGAAAAGAAGCTACAAGTATTATTCATCTTTCAGGAGTCAAGGACGGTTGTCAAGTATTGTAAGTAATGCTCTCCGTCTCTTCATCAGGTTACTGATGAAGCTGGAGTCTCAGGCTCTGATTTATATATGAAGCTACTTTGCTTTTGTTACAGATTTATTTTTAATATCTATATCTCATTTCTGATTGTGCCTCCTCTTTGCGAATCAGAGTTTAGAGACTTCAGTGGTTCCTTTTTTGGGATTTGGTTATGTAACTGACACTAATGATGCATCTACTCTGCGTCTCAGCTTCGAGACTGTTCGAGTCGGAGCCGCTGACGGCAGAACCTCCTCCTGCTGTCATGTCCTCCATGGAGCCTTTTATCCCTGCACTACACTACGCCTTGTTCAAGTTGCGTCCAAACCCAGGCAAGGACCTAAGCTCTGGGGTGGAGCGCCAAGCCACCGAATACCTGACTCGTATGGATTCGGGCACAGTGCRGCCTTTCATTCTGCCTGACTATAAATCTACCGTGGATGAAAGGACGATCCCTCTCCCAGTGCCCAGACCCAAATTTAATATGGATACCATACTGCGATCGTACATCCACAGCTCTGCAAGCTACATTTTACCTGTGAACAAGGCAAGGGACATAATGGAACGGATACGGAACCCCGTTCCTGTACCTCCACCTGCACCAGTGCTGACTCCTCTTCCGGTCCCAGTGGAATACAGCCCCGTTTCTGACTGGGGTGGCTCAGACAGGGGCTCAGACAGAGCAGAGAGACCTCCAGAAAGGCTGTCCTTGGAGAGACCAACTCAGGAGAAACCTCCACCACCTGACGCCAGCAAACGAAGGCCCAGTTTGGGCCACTCGAACGGTGCTCAGCTGCAGCCCAAATCCAGCGCCGAATCCCAGCCTTCTTCTCAAAGGACTCGGCAATCCCAGAGCGAGTACGAGCAGGACAAGATGAAACAGCTGCTTAAGCTGATCCAGCTACACAAGAAGACGCTCGGGAAGGATCAGGGGGCAGACGGGGCCTGGGATGCCAACAGTCTGAAAAGGAAATTTGAAGGAGACGAAAGAGGAAGTGTGAACAAACACCAACGCACAGATCATTTGAGCAACGGTGAACCCAGTAGAGGTGAGAGAAGAAACAGCATCTTGTTTAGATTGATTCAGATTGTGTGATTTGATTTTGTTTACCAAGATTTTCTACCTTTTTTTAAGTCAATTCTCTGTACAAGTGAAGATCATATTTTCTGAGTCTGATTAGTTGTCAGTAACATGCACCTTTAAACAGTTTCATTTTAAAATGCATGCATTTCATAGGTTAGCAGTTCATGTGTGTCTGTTCCGCCATCAGTCCAAGCAGATGATATCGGAGCTGAGGCCGGCCAGAGCGACAGTCTTGCAGCAGTGATAGAAAGCATGGGCCTCTACGACACCGACCTGAGGGCCCGCGACAGCACCTCAGCAGTCAACGAGACGCAGCGCCTGCTCAAAATCCTCTTGGCTACACTCAACAAAGCTGTAACTCAGGGCTTGGTGCCTCTGCAGGCAAACCACGGTGAAACATCAGCTTCTGGAGCGTTAGAATCTGTTCTGGCTGAAGCAGCGCTTGAGAATCAAATTGAGACGGCACCTCATACAAACTACACAGAGGTAAGGTGGAAACATCCAGTATTTGTGTGTGTGTGTGTGTGTGTGTGTGTGTGGTTTTACAGTAAAACAAATCGTGTTTTCAGGAGGACATGGACTGTAGCCCTGGTAGTCCGTTCAACACGAGCTCCCCGCCGCAGCCAACATACCCCTCAGACTTCCCATCTGAGGCTACCCCTGCCAATAAAGGTACCCCAAAGCGATTAGGTCCCACTGTCTCGTGGACATATTTTATCGGGGTTAACAAGACATCACTGTGACATATTTCCTGTCTGCTTTCCTCCAGACAAAGCGCAGCCTCTTGTCAAGTTGAAGCCTGAGCCAGAGGCCCTGCCAGCTGCAGAAAGCGACCCAGAGCCAAAGACGCTTGCAGCTTTGGAAGTAAAAAATACCATCACCCCCACTTTAACAGTTCCAGAGGAGGTTCCCTTTCGTCCCTCCATCAGCCTGGATACCATCGTGAACCAGGAGCTTCACAGCCTCACCTCTGACATGAAAAATCTCATGCAGACTCGGCACATTAGCTATACATCCAAGCTGCCCCCACGGTTGCCCCTGCGCCCCTGCTGGAAGCTCAACAGCTGCTTCTCAGACTACGTGGTGCCCTACGTCACCCCCGTCTCAGTCCAGGGGCACGTTGAAGAGCTGTGTGAAAAGATGGACAAGTTGATCCCAGCTCCACCTGCTCCCGCCAAGGACGCCCCTCCACCTCCCTCAGAGGCGACGTCTAATCTTACAACCCCGCCCTCGCTGTCGACGGCCAACTCTCAGAGTGGTAAAACTGGCAGTGACAACAAAGAGACTACACCCACTAAGGCTAAAACGGAAGCGTCGGAGCTGTGTACGGAGATGTATTCTCCGTCCCACGTCACAGCTGACTCTCCAGAGCCAAACGCCCAAAACGCAGGCACTGCCACTGGCAGTGGGTCAAATCTGCTTGCAGGCAGCCTCATCAGTCAGTTGAAACCGGAGGTTTTCACCAGCTTGGTGGAGATTTTTAAGGACGTCACCAAGAATACGGTTAAATTCTACATCTACTCTGGGGACGWGGGGGAGGACAGCACGGTCTGCAAGGAAATTAAGGTAAAAATACAAGGTTTTATCATGACCCTAAAACATTCACAGATTAAATGTCAGCATTAATGTAATCTTAAAGACTTAAAATAAAAAGACATTTATTGTAAATAAACAAGTAAACCAAACATATATAGAAGACTAAGTCATTGTTCGTGTGTGTTCCTGCCTCGGTGCATTACTTTCTACATCTCATTCATTCATGCCTTGATCGTGTGAGAAAGGGGCACATTTATCTGTCTGTTTCTAACAATCACATATTTTCTTTCTGTCAAAAAGGAGTATTTGAAAAGTCTCGGGAACAGTGAGTGCAGCCCACAGGTGTTTCTGGAGAACAGCGGCAGTTTGGATAAGCTCCTCATCATCATTAGGAACGAGGACATAGCTGCACATGTGCACAAGGTACAGTAACTTCCTGTCACCCTGTTCATCTCTCACAACCAATATGTAGTACAGGTGGTCCTCTGTCACACAAAAAACAAGAAATATTTTTTTAATTATTTTTTCTTAAAAAAAACAACAAATTTTATAAAATATAAAAATATTCAAGCTTTTTTAGTGAATAATTATTGATTTATTGCATTTTTGGATCTGTGGCTGAATGTAGAGATCAGGTTTCTTCACAGACCATCTGTAACAAACAGTTTGGCCTCTTCTCTTGCCTAAAATAACTTTTCATAACATCGTGATCATTATTGTTCATCAGAATAAATTTTTGAATCCCTCAGATGTTTTCCAGATGGTTCAGACTAAAACGATTCCAAATCACTGAACAATAAACAGGAAGATATTTTTCACTTTTTAGCCATTCATTAAACAGACCTGCAAGCCTAATTTGTGAACAAACTAAAATGTGTTCTTGTCACGCTGCAGATTCCAGCTCTGGTGTCTCTGAAGAAGTTGCCGTCAGTGAGCTTTGCAGGCGTGGATTCTCTGGATGATGTTAAGAACCACACATACAATGAGCTGTTTGTGTCGGGAGGATTCATGGTGTCTGATGAGTTCGTCCTCAATCCTGACTTGATCACACAGGGTAGGCTTCACTCTCGGTGAAGGAGTGTTTCTGAATATTGAAAAAGCAACAAGATAACATTTAAGAATGCAGAGTATTTTTGTTTATTTGTACTACAAGTAAAATGTTGCAGATAACATTTTAGGATGACATTAGGACTGCTGGTTTAGACACATTAAATGAGCTGTTGAAGAACATTGCAGGTTTACTTATAGCATGTAATGTTTTTTTTTATGAAAATTATTTTCAGGTCTATCTGTTTCGTTATGATGAATGAGCAGAGTTAGTCTGTGATTATAGTCTCACACAAAAGCTGAAAAATGATATTCTGTTAAGGAATAACATGGACAATCCTGGTACTTTTCAGCAATATCTAAATAATAAAAACATATTAGTTTAAAGTCTGAGTCTGAATGAAGATGTGTATAAATATTTGATTGTAGCAGTAACAGTGCAGGTGTATGATAGTGGATGTTTGGTGCTGGTTTAGACCATGTTTTTTTAAATTAGATTTGATTTTATTCCAGACATGTCAAATTCCTTCATCCATATAACTCAATATACCCTTTCACATATATACAAATATTGAAACCACTTAGACAAATTACACACAAATAAACAAACTCATAAAATAATATACACCCAATGTGCACACACCTATCTGTGTTCACATACCCAGATACATACACTCACATGAAGCACATAAATCCCAATAACATTTCTGAAAAGGGCTAGGAAGAAGTAAAACTAATTTAATCCTGCCCCAATTCACCATTTCATCTGGTTTTCAGAATCTTATCTTTATCAATCTTACCAATTTTTCTCTTTGCTGTGATCTTTTAATCACTTCAATTGAACTTTGTTACCTGGACATTTTTTTAGTTTGAAACTGATACTTTTGTCCACATTTCCTATTTATTGGCAGTATTGTCTTAGGTACATTGCAACAAGGTCCCGGGCTCTTTCTGTGTGGAGTTTGCATGTTCTCGTCTCCCACAGTCCAAAAACATACATGTTAGGTTGCCTTCAGGCTCAGGCCTCTCTTGAAAAAGAGATCAGTGATCTCAATGGGATTTGCCCGATTAAATCAAGGTTACATAAAAAAAATAAAAATGCTTTTAATAAATTGTGTTTTTGGAATTGTTTTGTCAAAATCAACAGATTTTGGTTTTATTCAGGAATGTATGCATAAACCCAATTATTTAGGTATTTACCTACAAGATGGAACGAGAGCTGTCGAAAGAGTGGTGACATTTGCAGTAGCAGCTCGTGAGCATAAAAATTAGTGGGGCAGATTGTTCGTTGTTTTAAAACTGGCTACATTCATCAGTTAAATGCGCTCTTATGCTTGTTTACTTCACTCAGTGCAGAGATTGAAACATTTTATCATCTGGCAGTAATAACTAATTATTTTCTCCCCCTAGTTTCTGCTAACATTCCTTATTGATTTGTTGCAGAAACATTTCATAAATACACATTTTTACAACTGTGGATATGCTGTGTCTAGATCGGCTCCAAGGGCTTCTGAGTTTCTTGGAGGAGCAAAGCACCCCTGAGCACCCCTGGCAGTGGAAGGTGCACTGCAAGTCACAGAAGAAGCTGAAAGAACTGGGCAGGTTAGTGTCTGAGTGGATTTCTCAAGATGGTAGCAACATCAAAATACCCTGCTTATTTTGTGTGTGTGGATTTTTTCAAGGTTGAACACTAATGCCATGGGGCTGTTAAACCTTTTAACGGCCTATCAGAAGAAACATCTGGTGGAGTTCCTGCCATACCATGAGTGTGACACTGTGTCGCGCCAGGCTCCAGATCTGGATTGCCTGATCAAACTTCAAGCTCAGCACACACAACAACGACACCTCATCTTCCTCACAGGTACCCCCACCCCGCTTTCAGTAAATATTATTGTTGTGGACATCAGTCTGTTTGTAATGAAGTATTCTATTCATGATCTGAATGAAAGCCAAATTATAACTAATGTGGTCGTTGCTCTAGTCTCTCAATAACAATGTTTTCTTGTTTAAACAGAGAGACCATTTGAAATGTTCCTGCAGTACTCCAGGAATGGAATCGTGATTGCCAGCATTGATGATGTTATGAATGGTTTTCACGGTCTGATTGGCTCCATTAATCAAAATGAGCTTCCAACGCCACCATCTACTGGTGAGTAGCATCAATGCAACATTAAACACAAAATCACTTGAATTTATATTTGGAACTAATGCCACTCCTGCTCTTCTCCTTACCTTCTCAGTAGTGAATGACGAGTGTGTGGAAGAGGAAGACATGTCGTTAGACTCTGACGATGGTGAGCCGCCGAGCACATCTGATCCTGTAGAAAAGACTGAGGAGACGTCGCTGCTGCCGCCCCCACCAGAGGCGAACGAGTTCCGTCCCCCGCTCCCAGACCTTCAGTCCACCCCTGAGAGAACCCCAACGCTGGCTGAGTGCACTGCCCTCAAAACGGCCATCTCTCAGTTCAGAGCTACCAACCAGATAGGCTTAGCCTCCTCAGAACTTGGCAGCTTGTCACCAGGTGGTTTTCCTGTGAACACCCACCAGAGTTTTCTGTGTCCCTCCTCCTCCTGGTCCTCCTACACCGGCTCCTCTAGCTACGTGGCCTCACCCGCCTATCCCGCTTCTCCCTGCAGCGGCACCCAGGAACCGGAGACCCGTCCCCCAGCTACAGCTTCTACTGCAGCTGCAACTCCACCTGTCATGCCCCCAGCAGGACCTCTAGCCAACCTGTCTTCCCTCCCTTTGGAGGTCAAACCACCTCCTCCTCCTCACCTTATGATGCAGGGTCAGACTTACGGTTCAGATGCTGGAGGGGCCGGAGCTGCTGGAACCTCTCCGCTCGTCCCCACCCTCCCGTACAAAGACCTCAGTGACGCGGTCCAGCCAGGTTACATGGGTGGCATTGCTACAAATGCTGGCGGGACCCCCACGCAACAGGAAAGGACACTCAGCAAATCTGGTGAAGGGGTATGGAGCATGACGGCGACCAGCACCTGTGAGACTGCCAGCAGCCAGGGTGTGGTCACTTCTGTGCCCGTGGACCCCAGCAGTCTCCCAAAAACTGGGGACGTTCTTGTGGGAAGTACGGCTGGCAGTCAGRCGGGCAGGACTCAAATGAACTGTAGTGGTCTCGGAGCTTCGGTGGGCATACCCCCAGTGGCCACCAGGGGGGGCTCAATACCCAGACCTAAGCTGCCACCACCTCCTCCTGGTGTGGGCTATGGCCACCCGGGGCATTTGGACCATGGACCCATGCGGGGTGCTTTTGTTCCTGGTTTTTTAGGAAACTACAGAGGCAGAGGAGTCCCACCCGTTGGATTTATGCCTCGGCCAGGACGAGGACAGGATCTGGGGAATGGGACTGGAGGTGGACCCTGCTCATGGGGACACCCACCAGGCAGGGGTGGGCCACAGAACTACTACACAGACTACACATATTCTCACAATTATACCCCTGAATAGACAATCAAGATGAACGAAGGGGCAATGCAAACACAGTAAAGCAGAGACATTTGGAGCTGGCTGAATGTATATATTTCCTTGTCATAAACTCATTGATTTAAAATCAGTAAATATGAATTATGGTTTTCTACATTAATAAAAGTTGATACAGGCAGTGCCGAGTGTCCTACTGTCGTGAAAACTGTACGCTCTTTCCATGTGAGCTGTTTGAAACCCTGTCCAAACCACTATATTTATATTTGCCAACAAATATTAATGGCCTTCCAGCTTCTCAGAATTGACCATGTTCTTTCTGTTTGTTCCGGTTTTGAAATGGTTTGTGAACAAGGGGAATGGCAGATATTTTTTAATGAAAAAAAAAAAAAACTTAGTACATGAAGTTTCACTTTTGCTTTTGGTTTCCTTTTTTTAAAATTTTATTTTACATATTCGGTTGTTCAAAATTCTATTACAATAAAACATTTCGAATCTTGTTTGTGTGATGGTTTTGACAGTGTCAAGCAGTTCATTAAAAAAAGGAAAACATACTGATTTTGTGTCATAGTCATTTAACTCAAAGGGGGGGAAAGACGAGCAGCGCTGGGCTCTGCGGCAGAAATCGACTAAATCTATATTCTCCTGCGGTGTGAGCAGTGGATTGAGCAGTTTGTTGGAGATCCAACACTTAACGTTGGTGAGGGTTCATGCTGAGTGCTTCCAGCTTTTCAGCCACCGTTGATAGAGTAATTAGGAGGGCTGATGTCCTTTCTGTGAGGCTTTATTGTGTTAACTCAACTCAGTGGAGCGTTTCATGAAGAGAAACACCAGGGGGCGCCATTTCCTTAAAATATGAAAAGAATTTTATAGTCCAATAAACACAAAACATGATTTACAGCATTTTAATCTGCAACATTTACCTAAAAAACTACACTTATACAGTTTGAAGCATTTTTGTACGATTAAACTAAAAAAAATTAAATGTATGTTGACATGTTTGCTGGCTTTACAAGCATTTAAAGTCTGTCACAGTGTTTAGTTCTCATTTGTTCCACAATCAGATTTTTTTTAAACAAGCCTAACTTTCCATCAAATGCCTGGGCAAACAAGGGGTTTTTAAAAGCTCTTTTTGGTTATTAGATGCATCAGTGGGAGGGAAGCAGAAGAAACAAGAACAACAGGTAATATACTGTGTGGACCCAACACTTCATTATGATTCTCTGGGAGTTTTTCATWAACAGCGGGACTAGAGTGGCTCTAAGTACCTTTTGTCAGGTACTTAAGCACAAATATAAGGCACTTTATTTGAAGCCTGTTCTTTTTAATTCTCTGCTACATACCTGTATATAATAAACATGAAGAAGCTTTTTATGTGAACCTCCTTCATGTGATGGCGTCTTTTGTTCCTTGTGGACGTGAGGTGAGATGAAAGGTCTGAGTCTTCRAGTTAGCAGGTGAAAGATCCAACCCTCAGAGATGACAAGCCTGTTTTTATTGTTTGTGTCCAGAAGGGCATAATTATTCATCTTATTCAAAAAGTCAGTGTCTCAGCCATCCCATGAGTCCTTGTTACTTCTTGTTACACCGTATTTTTTTACAAGAAAGTCTTTTAATGTTTGTTTTCCTCACACACTGTTCGTACTTTGCATCTTTCAGCTGCATGAGTCGGGATTAAACTCAGGCTGACCACAAAGTCCTGCTGTTGAAGTCCTGATCAGTAGTTTGCATTTTGTTTAATGAATTCATCCTTGTTATCAGTTTCAGCTGGCCTCTTTTCTCAAAACACATTTTAAATAAGGTTCTCAGAAACCTATAAGTGTGGAAGCCCATTACTGCCATGTTGAAGAAAAACATCATCTTAGCTACGTTCACACTGCAGGCAAACGCAGCAGAACGGCTCAGTGGTTTGCACTGATGCCTCACAGCAAGAAGGTCCTGGGTTCGATTCCCGGTTCAGACCTGGGGTCTATCTGTGCAGAGTTTGCATGTTCTCCTTGTGTTTGTGTGGGTTTTACTCTGGTTTCCCCCACAACACAAAAATATGTGCAATAGGTTGYCTCCAGGCCGCCCTTGAAAAAATAGATCTGTGATCTCAGTGGGATTTGCCTGGTTAAACAACACTAAATAAATTACTTTTGTTTTGTGTCAATGTGATCCATATCAAACTTTTTCATGACAGTCTGAACGTGACAACTCAGAATTTTTCAAATCCAACCCAGGTCTTTTCAGGATAAATATATGTTTTCAAAGCAACCTCAKTCTGAACCTCATGACTCTTACATCAGTGAGGTAGGGGTGAATGGATTAATCCAAATATTTGGATGACCAACTTTGTGCAGTTTATATCTTGTAGCTCCACACATCTTCACCTACAGAAGTTAAGTYGCTGTCTTTTTTATTTTTTATTTTTCCATGTCCTGGATGACTGAGAATCCACAGAAATATGTGACAGTAACGTCTGTCTCGGACTACACTGGTGCTAAAGTTACTGGATTGAAACTTTACTATCGGCTCGTCGCTCCCATTAAAAAAAAAGCTCCACTGTCAAGAGGCAGGTTCAAATGGAAATGGTGAACTGACCAAGCATTTTAGATAATTATTTAATCAGCGTCGATTGCACAACTTCAGAATTAACATGCTAACAAGTAGAATCCATACTTATTTTTGTAAACAGCGAGCCGAATGCGACATCACTTCATCTTCTGCTCATGCAGGTCACATCAGTGAGGTGGAGAGTTCACAACGGAGTTTGATGGAAATTGCATTAAAAATAGAATTTAAATATCCATGCAAAAAAATGGATTTGAGCAAAAAGAAAAAAATAATCTGAATTGAGCATTAAGACCTGCAGTGTGAACATAGCCAGTCATATTTATGTGATACCATCTTTAAAGTATGACTTTTCTGATAACGACTTAGTTATTACATCCAAGTGATGCAATATTTTTTGAGAAACTTTTCAAAATGGTTTCTTTTTGAGATAGGATCTCAAAATTAGGATTTGAAGGATTTTTTTCAGAGTGGTAGAAACGGGCTTCTGCAAAAAAATGATGATAATAATAATAATTAAATAAAACCCAGATCCGTTTGAAACAGAACTTTTTGTCTGAATACTTCCATTCACATTTCTACATGTTTTGTTTAAATTTAAGTGGATACATAAATAGCAAAATGTAAGGAAATTTGTATTTAGTCATTTTTTTGTAACAGTACTTCTTGAAAATAAATCTTATATTTTTGGAAAGTCTTTAAAATTCCCTTTTGAATGGTGCCACATTTGTAAGGAACATGCATTTGTGGGATGAACAGTAGAGCTGAGTATGTGAGTTGCGTGCATCGAAACATTTGCCAAATTTTCTCTGCCAAGCAACATATTTTGAGCTTCTAGTACTCCCAGGTGCTGCCAATCAGAATAAAATAAGAATTTATTGCCAAGAAGCATTGTTACATCAAAGATATATCTACCAAACACAAATTTCCAACAGAACCAGTTGAATAAGAACTGAACACTGAGGAGCAGAGAAAGACAAGAAGAGGTCGTAAAAAAGTGGTCTTAATAAATAAAACTTGCAGTTGTGCTTTTCAAATCCTGTAATACCCAGCTAAATTCCACTTACTACAGCAACGTCAGCATTTAACAGCTCCAGAGAGGACGAGCCAGGAGACTGCTCCTAATGCTCTGACAGGCTCAGATCAGAGTTTCTCTCAGCAGACACCCATTTGTTTGTTTGCAATGAAATATGATTTACCTAATGGCCTTTGTGCATTCATGTGTTCCCAGGAGCGTTCTGAGACCCAACTTTTTTTCTCTCTCTCGACACGTCTGTTCATTTCACAGCTTTGTGCCGTTTTGAAAAATGCAGAGCCCAGCCTGCGGTTCAGAGGCATGACAAACAGCCTGTTGTCTGCGGCAACAGCCCGCATTTGTTTTGGTCTTTTTTTGGAAACGTGTGACCTAGCTCCTAAAAAAGATCTACAGTACAGCGGAGATAGCTGAAATAAATGGCTGCCCGTGTTTCTCGAGCTCGTATTCCAATTTAGGTTTCCAGTTAGAATGAAATACGGGTTTGTGGTGACACTGGGCCTCCCGTGGACTTGTGTATGAGGATGTCACTTAGCCTGAGAGATGCGCGTGTATCTGACACAGCTGGGTGCCTCCACTTTTGCCTGATGACTGTTTTGACAGCTCAGTAATAGCCTACGCCGACAGTCAAAGCATCAATCCACGACTGAAAGCAATTCAACTTATTCAGAGTTAAAACTCCTCTTTCACAGTAATTAGATTCTTGACTAAGATGATTCTGAATCCCTGGGATCCCAGCCGAACTCGGCAAAAAACAATTAATCTGGAAAGGGAAGTGCAGGCCTTAATTGAAGCCTGATGGAGTGTTTTGCTTGGGAGAAGGGCATCTTTTCAAACATCAAGGGGTTCTTCATTTACATCTGAGTAATTTGTGCGAGCGACTTGGGRTAATTTGCAGAAAGCGGACAGACCGAGCCGTACAAGCTTGTACCTCTCTGTTGTAGACGGAAAATTGGATTTTTATTTTAAACCGTAATCATTAAGGCAGTATAATGTGCAAATGTTAGCATAAATAAAACAGGACTTGAGGGAATGGTCCTAATTAGAGCAAACTAAAACTGTTCCTTGTGTTTTAAATTAAGATTAAAGCTACAACTTTAATTTACAATTCACAATTAAAGTTGAGGTACAGCCTGTCACTTGCTGAAACAAAAGAGAAGAGTACAGAAATAGACACTCAATTCTTACAAGTTCTGATTTTTACTTACCTTAATTTAACCAAGGAAATCCCATTGAGATCATAGATCTCTTTTGCAAAGGATTTTAAAAGACTATGAACAATTATTATTTAGTTATTGCTGATAGCTTCTTGAATGACCTCTGATCTCCCATCAGCCTCAGTCCTTTAACCTTTCAGTCTCCTTTCACTGCTCAGTGGATCATCATTCTGTACCCCCTGATTATCATTGTGCCTACCTACAGTATCTTTGTTTTTATTATGTAATCCTTTGTTTGGATGAAACAATAATGCTTGTAATAAATGTAATAATGTTTAGCCTTTTTTTTACTTAAAAAGGTATTATGCAAAGTCAACTTTTTAAAGCTTTACATCATGTTATAATGTCAATCCCTCTTCAAACCCTTAAATATCTTGTGGTAGCCATTCAGAGGTGCCAAATCACATGTTCATATAAGCACCGCCTATTTACCCAAAGCTCCTCCCCCACACAGCTCCATCATAGGAACAATTAGCAAACACCTGCTGGAACTGTACGTCTGTTGAGCTTGAACTTGAACTTTCCTGCCCACAGTCATCACCATCTACAAGAACTCTTTAGTTAAATGAGTTACAACACCTAATATCCCTCTGGGATCAATAAAGTATTTTTGAATGGAATTGAATTGAACCACAAAACA